TGTTCTGTTAGCAATGCATGTAAAAGTTCTGTTTGCTTTAAAGTAAGATGATCTGCTTTATAGTGGTTCCTGTAATCTTTCAATGCATTCCTTGGAAGATTTCATTGGTGCCACCAGTTTTACAGAGATACTTCAGAAGTATTGGGACTGTTTAAGTATCCAGCATGGATCTGGAAAGCTGTCTACATTTTCCAATTATTTTTCAAGCACCATATAATTATGTTGGATTTGTGTTAGGCATTGATATGGTGAGGTTATTATTGAGTCTGAGTAATAGGGGGTGTTAGTACCACCCATAGTAAACATGGGCACGGGCCGTGCCTGGCCGTGCCGGGGTGGGGGCCGTGCCGTGCCGTGCCGGCTCCGCGGCGGGCCGTGCCGTGCCGTGCCTGAATTTGGCACACCCCAGCCCACGACACGGCACGACCCACGTGCCTTGCGGCCGTGCCGTGCCGGGCCGCGGGCCAAACCATGCCAGCTTATTTTATTTTATTTATTATTTTTTTTTTAATAAATGAAAAAAAAACGAATTAAACGATATATATTTTTTTTAGTACAACTTAATATATGTGATTAATTTATGTTTATGTTAAATGTTAATGTTAATATATTTTGTTTTCATTTTTTGAACAACTTTATTTTAATTTAGGTTATAAAAATTATTTATCTAATTAATAATTATGTTTAAGTTTATTTAAACAAATAAAAATAATTTTATTAATTTAGCAAAAAACAACAATGCATATAATAAAAAAAAATGCGAGTGCGATAATCCGAAAACACAAAAAATTGAAGAATAACTTATTTTATTATATGACGGTAGCCGGCACGAATGTACGATAATTCAATAATACAAAATAAGTAATGATAATTAAAAATCGTACAATAGTGTATGAATATTGAATAACTTCATTTATTATACGGAATACGAAGTTCGATAATACAAAAATAATACAATAGTGTATAATGTAAATATGTAATCATGTAATTATTATTGGTCGTCTTCGTCTTCGTCTTCATCTTCGTCTTCGTCTTCGTCTTCTAGAGGTTCAAGTTCATCCGCCAATTGAGTTGATTGAGAAGTATGAGAACTAAAAGAAGTTGACGTTCCTTCATCGTCGTCGTTTTGTGTATAAGTACGATCTTGAGAACGAGTTTCGGCATCCAACCAATCCTTGAAGCAAACACACATTTCAAGTGTTTCGGGTTTTAGTCTTGTTCTTCTATCGTCTAAAACTCGTCCCGACGCACTAAAAGCTCTTTCGGAGGCAACGGAGGAGACTTGGATTGCAAAAATATCATGAGCCATTGCCGACAAAATTGGATGTTTCACGGTTTGTGATTTCCACTAATTGAGGATGTCGAGGCCAAACTTCTCTTCATCGTCCATGCCTTTCATGAAGTCGTAACTTAAGTACATTTGCAACTCCGAAACATCGCTTTGTGTTCTCTTACTTGATGATGATTCCGTACCTGAAAACTTGGACATCATGTTAGCAGCTTGTGCAAATAAACCTTTGGCCCGTTTACTTACATTTTTGGATGTTTGAAATGGGGCAAATCGAGACACGGTTCCATATTTACTTTCATAGGTGGAGTATAAAGAAAAAAAATCATTTGTCACCTTACTTTTAAAAGCTTCAACATCATCTTCAAAATTCATGTTACTATAATAAATATCAATTAATAAAAAAAGGTGCCATCATATTTTTGCCTAGGATCTAAAATAGAAGCAAAAATATAAATCATAGGAATATCGGTGTAATATTTACGCCATTTTTCCTCCATGGATGGAAGATATCCACGATAAACATGTTGAGATCGGTGTTCCGCAAAAAGTTATGCAAGTAAACATGCATTACTAAGAAAAGAATGAGAACAAGGATTATATACAGAAGAAAAACAATGTGTCATACCATATAGTAATTGTAAAAACTGCATATATTTTTCACAATTAACCCAATCATCTTCTAGTAAAGCATTTTGTGGAAATTTCATATTATAAAAAAGTGTTAAACGAACCTTGTACTCGATTGCCCGACTCAACATTTCATAGGTGGAGTTCCACCTAGTTGGACAATCCGGTGCTATTTTTATGGTTTTTATCCGTTGTTGCCTGCAAAAACCTTTCCATTCTTGATATCTCATGTTAGAGCTATTAATAGACATAATAGCATTCCTTATTTTGTGATAAAATGGACCAATTGCTTGTGTTCCATCCTTCACACACAAGTTAAGAACATGACAAATGCATCTAACATGAAGTGCATCACCATCTAATATAACATCGGTCAATTGGTTTTTGACCAAATTCGCACTATATGTCATAGAAGTTGCATTATCGAAAGTCATTGACATGATTTTATCCCTAAGACTATATGCATCAATGGCTTCCATCAAATGTTGTGAAATGTTAAGACCGGTATGAGGGTATTCAAGCATTTTGAAATGAATGATGCGTTTTTGTAACATCCACTCATTATCTAACCAATGACAAGTAACACATAAATAGTGGAGTCCGTAACCACCATCCCATGCATCGGCGGTTAAAGAAACTCTACTAGGAAGATTAGCTAATTCATTTACTAATTTCAATTTGTACTCTAGATAACTCTTCATGGCAGCAGATCGAACGGTTTTTCGGGAGATTTTTTTGTGTTTTGGTTGTAGTGCTCGGTTAATATAGTTGTTGAAGGCATCATTTTCGGCGAAAAGAAAAGGTTGTTCCGCATGTACAATCATTCTCCCAAGTTCATCCCTATCTCTCTCGTAATTGTAAATGAAGCCTTGTGGATGGAATTGAGAAATTTTGGGTTGGGTTGGATCACTAGATGGTCCACCACATTTTTTTGTATGTCTATTAAGGTGTCCCGTCCCTCCCTTGGTATCGGCCGAGAAAATTTTACCACAAGTCCGACACTTGGCCTTTTGTCCATTTTTACTTAATTGATAATGTGACCAAACTTTACTCTTTCTTTTGGTTTGAGCAAAATCCTCTTCGGTACACCACTCTAATATGTTAGGATTTTGGGTGTTGGGCATTTGGGTGGATGGTTCACTCGACCCGCAGGCTTGTGTTTGGCTACCTTGGGAAGGAGGAGGAAAAGGAAATTCATGTTGTTGAAATTGGCTTTGTTGAAATTGGGTCCAAGGAGCCATATCATCCATTTGTTCTTGCCCTCCCGTGTTTTGGGGATGAAAGAAAGGGGTGGAAGTGTTTGGAAAGGGCATGTTAGGGGAGGGAAAGGGCATGTTAGGGGGGGCATAGGCATTGAAGTGTTTGGATTTGGTGATTCCCTACGTTTTGACTTGGCTTTTCTAGAGGAGGAGGAAGCGTTCGGGTTTGATGCCATGATTAATTAATAATAATAACAATAAAAGTAACAATAACAATAATAATAATACAAATAACAATAACAATAACAAAGTAACAATAATAATAACAATTCACAACAATAATAATAACAATAACAATAAGAATTAGTAAGTAGTTTTTATATAAATTAAATTTTTAAAAATAATTATAATAATAGTAGATTACTTGGATCAATGAAATCCCAGGTATGAGAGGTTAGGAGCGACGTTGTCCAGAGTCCAAGTCCCGCCTTAGACAGATTTCAACAATCCAAATAACCCACAATTAAAATAGAAAGTAGTTTTTATAAAATTAAGTAGTTCCAACTTCCAAGAATACAATAATAATAATAATAATAATAATAATAATAATAATAATAATAATAATAATAATAATAATAATAATAATAATAATAATAATAATAATAATAAAATAATAATAATAATAATAATAATAACAAGATTAACAACTAACAATAACAAATTAAAATAAAGTTGAGTTAGATCTTACAATGACGCTTCAATGCTTTCCCAAATTTATAATTTCCCAAACTTATAATTTCCCGAATGTAAATATAACAATTTTTTTTTTGGTAGTAGACTAATAAAGGTAATAATAGTAAAAATTTAAAATTTATAAGAGAGTAGGAATTTTTTTTTTCACAAAAGAGAGCAAGATTGTAGGATTTGTAGGAATTTGAGAATTGAGAATTTGGGACTTGGGAGTAAGAAAATTAGAGAATAAGAGAGAAGAGATGAGTTGATGAATTGTGAAAATTTTGGAGGAAAATATAAGGTATTTATAGGGAATTTGGGTGGGAAAAGGGGTGGAAAACTAGCCGTTTATAGCTGTTGGAAAACGGCCATAAACGGCTAGTTTTCCAACGGTAATTTGGCACGGGCCGTGCCGTGCCGGGCCGTGCCGGGCCAGGCTCGTGTCGTGCCGTGCCACGTGCCGTGCCGCCGGGTCGTGCCAGCGTGCCGGCCCACGTGTCGGCCACCGTGCCGCCCGGCGTGCCACGTGTCGTGCCCGTGCCAAATCCCACAAATTTGTTCACGGCACGGCCCACGGCCCACAGGTGGGCCGCCGTGCCGTGCCGGAGTCGTGCCGCCCGCGTGCCGGCACGGCCAGTGCCCATGTTTAATGTCCCATAGCTTATAGTTTTTGCTCAGTTTGTTCATAGCAGTATTGAATATTGATGCTAATTTTTGTTCATTTGTTAGCAGTTGCTTTAATGTTGAAGTCATATTGAAATCAACATGCAACATGTTACAGTAGTTATCACCACCCCTCCTGCTGTTTCACCATGAATCCCTTGCATCTTCAATTTATTTAGTCCTACTTAGAGCAGTCGGTAAAATTAATACAAAATACTAAAAAGGGGGAGTTGGCTGAAGATGGATTTTGGAGATTGCTAAAGTGCTGTAATTGACCTGGAGAATCATAGTTGGAAGATGTAGCTAGAATTTAAAGATGCATGTTCTTGTTTTCTCTCTAGTTCTAGTATTTTGAATGTATTAATTTAAAGATGCATATTCTTGTTTTCTCTCTAGTTCTAGTACTCTACACTCTCTTGTGTCAAAAAAAAAAAAAATAGTATTCTACACTCTGCTTCTCATTGCTTTTTTCTTTTTACCCTTGGCAGATGGGATTGGGTATACGCGCATTAACTTCGTCACATTTTCCTCCCACCAATTTTATTTTGGTGACTCTAGGAAGCACCGCAGTTCTGCTAATTGGTTGGAGGACACTCTTATTCCGGAGTCTTCCTAGTGGCAAGAGCAAGAAAGATGATATGTACAGACGTGGAAGTCCATTCGAACTGTTTGAGGTATGAAACACTTCCCCTACATAAACTTTGTTAGCTATTTCAAATGGAAATATATGTCACTATCATGTTAAGTTTCATATATCTTCTGAACAGACCTTAGCTTTAATTAACACCTTGTTGAGATCTTAATATTTGATAAACATGATAAGTTACTCTAATAATTGAGTTGCCAGTACTATAAAAGTCCTTGAGCATTAGTTTCAAACTTTCAACGAAAATTTCAGTACTAAAGCATGTTAAACTGCCAATGATTGCCTGATTGGGCACTTGGGCTATGTCCTATGTGGCTGATAGTCATAACTCATAAAAGTTCAGGTGGTGATTTATGTTTCATATACATCATGTACAAAATTTCTCACTTTAAAGTTGGAAGCAAAGAGGCTGGTTTGGTTACATATTGTTGTAGTGATTGCTTTTTCTTCAATATAAGGGGTGTCTTTGCTTGTTCTACAATTTACGTTAAAAGTGATCAAAGACACTGGTTGTTGCACACAGCCCGTCTCTTAACTAGTATAAATCAATCGATTTTAAACCTCGGTTTTTAGCCTACATGACCAATACCACTACTTCAGGTAGTGACTTTAGCAAGGGTAAAATCACTATTTTGGATAACAATTGAAATCTATGCCATTATCTTACATGGATGGTAAATAGGAGAATATGTTTTATACCGAAGCTTAAAGGAGCAAGCTTTTTATTTGCATTGCTCAAGTAAAGTTGATTGAGGAAACAGCAATTATTACGTCGTTACGAAATGTAGCGTAACTTCTCTATTGTTTAGGGGTGGTATGTTGTATATACTCCATACTAGTTTGTTATTAGTATATACTACCTCCGTTCTTATTTTGAGCAACAAAATCCCTTGCACGTTTCCCAAGATAAAACTTTTAAATAGTGTTAATTAAAATAAGAGCAAAAAAAATAATTCCCATTTATTTTTCTATTTTAATTCTGGGGCCTATATAATGCTGCTAAAGTGCTAATACAAAGTAAGTGATGTTTTGTGCTGCAGCTGCTTACTTCTCTGGTTAGGAGGTGGTGAAAAGTGGCATCATTCCTGACATTTGAGTATATTCCTGTGTAAATTCAGTTCACTACATAGTTGTATTTTCATCTTTAAGATGCTAAATTCTTTTTAAAAATTTACTTTATGGATGATGCGCCTTCCATCTTTATTTAGTTAACACGCTTTTTGTATAAAGCAAAATGTTTGGATGACAATAGTGAAGGGAAAGGAAAAAGAGAGAAGAGAAAGGAAGGTCAGGGGAGGGAGAGATTAATCTTCCATTTTTCCATCCAAATCTCTCAAAAAATGGAGGGATTTGGTTTATTAAAATAGAAAAGAACATGAATCCTTCTATTTCCTTTCTCTTTCCTTAACCTATGTCTTCTCTAAATTAGAGAATTTATATCCCTAACTTTCCCTTTCCCTCCCTAATTTCTCCACAATTTCTATCCAAACATAGTGTAAATACAAAAGCATGCAATTCTTTATTTATTCTAATGAGAAAAACTACTTTAATGATCATCAAGTATCAACATTTAACCTATGCTTTTCATGAATTAAAAGAAATTATTCATAAATTTGAATTATTTATGTAAAATTCATCGATTTTGCATTTAAATTGTCTCTTCTAAATAAATCTCTTCACATCTCCTTATGACTACCCATTATACCTTAGATTTGGGATATATGTTTTTGTTGTCAACAAGATCTCTTGAGGAGAGAGCATTGTGAAAATACATAGTCATATTAAAATAGATTATGGTTTAATTATATGTACTTGACAATTGAACTTAAATTTTAAACAAATACTTCTGAACGTAATAAGGATGAAGAAGTATCTTACTATATGTTCGAGAATAGACAAAGTGGCATTGGCATGGGCAATGCACACTTTTCAAGATAGAACAAATGGGAGACTGAAAGAATAATGGTGTTCGACTAAGTGTACTATTTCAAAAGATGGTTTAGATAAATATGGAGTCTATTATTTAGGAATACAAACTGGAGGTTGCTTCCAATCAGTGTGAATAATCAATAATTACTCTCACAACTTACTACCTATCGAGTCACCTTCTGAGCATGAAATCAAATCAATAGGTAGATTGGGCTACAGGTCTAAATTCGTCGAATGTATAGTTTAGGTCAAAGCGTTGGATGTGAGGTTTAAGCACTACAAGTCCAAACTCATATTGTTAAATGGATCAAAAGATCGCAAGGTGACGACTCAAACGATGGCCCATGGCACTGCTTATGGACTACCACAACAACGCATGGCCATAAGGCCCAATCAAGGCTAGACGTGCTAAGGTTGGGCACATGGGTCCAAGGGAGCCAACCGAGGCAAGGCCTCACTAACACATGCAAGCAGTAAGCCTAGCTAATAGTTGAGCCTCACTACAAGGTCTTAGGCTGACTCGCAACAGCACCCAATCGCACAAGGCCTTACAACAAGGTGGCTTGAGTGTGTATGCAAGAATTATGAGGCTTAAACTTGTGCCTGCTTAGCGCGAATGGAAACAACAAGGCCCATAGTGTGGGCATGTATGCTAGTTGGCCATGCACTAGACTTGAGGGGCAACTGTTTCCTAATATCATTGGGTTTCTAATGGAGGTGTAGTTGTTATAAATACCTCTCTTGTCATTGACACACAAATTTATAAGCCTCCATTAGATTAAGAACGTAAGATCTAAACACAAAACCTTAAGAGATTTAGAACGCTATTCTAAGTTAATACATTCACGGTGGATTTGATCGTGCGAATGAACTTTCGATATAGAGATTGCACTTGCAATTCTTGGCTCCATCTATACTTTCAAACGTATACTTTAGAGTAGGATTAAGTTTTTAAGCTATACTTTCAATTACGTATAGATCCGAATATAAGTTTGTTTTCGCGCTCTTATTAGATTATTGTAAAGTTCAATAGTTTCATCGTTGGGTGATAAATATAGAGACACTTTTTTTTTCTTGGTGTCTACACCAGAATGCTAGCCATCCTTAAATGCCTGCTTTATGTTAAAATTAATCGCTAGAACGACTCCACAATCTTATCTAAATCTAAGAATAACTACGAATTTAAAGATTGTTAATCAATAAATCAACAATATAATCTTTGCAAGGCCATAGCCCAAGAGGCTAGAACGGGGAGCATTCATAAAATAAGTGTGTTAGCCATTTCATGGTGGGAGCAGCGGATGTTGATCAAAGTTATTTAGGTCGTTGAAACTAAAACACCTTTAATTAATCAAACACTTAATTTATAAACCTAAACCTAAGCACTAAACACAATTCTACTGGTAAATCAAGGGGTCGATCCTAAGGAGAAGCTAAACACCACGTTCATTACCATCAATTAAGCTATCTCAGAAGAGGAACAAAGTTGTCTAAAGATACTAAACAAAGAACGAAATGAACTAGAAGAAATGCAATTAAAGCACTAAGGGGAATGAGTAGATGTAGGATTCATTTGAACAAACATAGACATAGAATTGATTTGATTGCAAACTAAGCATGCTTGAATATCGATGTAAGGTCAAATCTAGCCCCATGGTCAATTGGTTTCTCCTAACATAGTTTCTATGCTATCGCATTAGAACCATATATTAGAAGGTGCAATCAAATATAAATCGATAACAACGAATCAAGCAAGGTCTGTTATCGCATCATCAAGCATCAATTCGCCCTCAATTCACAAACAACGTGCACTTTGCAAGCAAATTGAAGTACATCAAACACACAAATACTTTAATCACAATTAAACAAAATTCAAGATCTAAAACATGATCAAACTTACCGCATCATCCCCACACCCTTAGCAAGGAAACTACTCACTAATCATGGCAATTAACAAGCGAATTATCAAATCAACAAGTAAAAGTATTATTATCAAGTAATTTGATGAAACAAAAGCAAAAACAATCAACAAAAGTAAAGAGAAAAGAGTGAGAGGATGCTCATTGATTGGAGATGAATGTCTACAAGTAAGGTGATCTTCCTCTTCAAGATTGAAGCATCAACAATGGTGAAAATCTCACTATCTCTCTATAAAACTAAGCTAAGAGTTTTTCTCTCTCTATAATAAGCTAATAAAACAAGAAATTCAGTGAAACTAATACTCATCTACCTCTCCCAAAAAAAAAAATTTATAGGGTGGTTTAAAAAGAAGAGAAATTGATATATTTGCGCCCTCTTAAGCTGAATGCGCACGAAACAATGCGGTTTTAAAAACTGAAATTGTAACATCCTAGAAATTCCTTTCCTTTAAAATACCTGCTTTGCTCTTTTAAAAACTTAAAATAGGAAAATCTAAGATATTACCGCCACTGTGAAAACGGCTAAGGCAAATATCAAAGACACACAACGGAAGACAAAACTTTAAACCAAACAAAACAAGTCAACTTAAAAAGTCAACCAAACGAAGTCAAATAAAATCAACCTACAACTTGGAACCATTGTAGGCCCTTATGAAAACCAAACCAACTTCAAAACTTTTAGTCTCATGAATAATAATATCATAACATAATTAAAGCATTAAAAACATCATAAACTTATAGAAACTAGCATGATTCGCTCTTCACCCATGCCCCGTCATGAATATGATTCAATCACCTGAAAAACTTCTCTACTTGTTTCCACTACTCTCCATTAAAAATGGGTCATCATAGGGCCAAGGTAAAGACAAGACCAACAAACACACACACACACACACACACACAATCAGCAAAGCTGAGTACATAAGCGTATTTAAACACACTAACATGCTTTCACCTATCAACACATACTTACCTCAATGCACCTGTTTACAAGCACACAACATTCAACAAAAACTTCTCAACTAGACAACTAAATGATTTATTTAGTATTGATTACGCATCGAACGGGTTTCCCACCTAACCTCCCCCAATAAATTGAGGTTACTGACACAAGAGCTAACCGTGCCAGCATCAATAACTACTTGTAAGTGGCGGAATTCCTGCGCATAATAATAATAAAAAGGAATGCGAAGCGTCTTGTACTCCAGTATAAGTTATGATCAAATATAAAGTCACATAACCCCCCCCCCCCATATGTTCATACTCAAGGTATATACGTTCCAAGAGTTTTGGTGCGTAATCTCTTTCACTTTACGTTATTTACATATTATTAAACTTGGTGATGACTCTCAAACCATAATCATTCAATCAACAATAATTATTCAAACAATCAAACATACCAAATTAATTCTTGAATAATTAGTAACCACATAAAATTTAATGTTGAACCCTTTTTAAATCTACCTCGGTGCCAATGACACCTTAAATGCATAAAACGCCACAAATCCTATCCCTCGGTGTTAAAAACACCTTAAGTGCACAAAGGCACCAAAATATAATTTATTCCTCGTGTACAAATACACTTAAATAGCTCTTTTCTCATGCTTAAAGCATCAATAAACATAATAAAATTCCTTTTCAATATTCCAAACCAAATTAAACATTTACTTTAATTAATCATGCATTCTAACATGCCATAAATACAAGTGTGGTTCATACAAAACATACCAAATTATAATTTCCAATCCATAATCCATCACATATAAATCATGCTTCATAATTCAATCACCAACATTAATAATCCACAATTCCAAACATAACTCTTAGCATGATACTACTTGTAATTCAATTAACCAAATCTAGAATGCTACTACATCATCCATAAATATGCCAAGTACGCGAACGTACCTCAAATAAGCCCTTAAAGTAGCCGAAAACACTACAACAATTCCCGAACCAAGCTTCCTACATAAAGGGACAATAACATTATATTATTTCTCCTTGTATACATAATTTCCAGCAACTTAAATTCACTTTAGACTACTTAAAATAATCTGAAAATTATTTTAAAATCCCTAATTAAACACTTCTTTAATGGGTAATTAAACCCTTTCATTAAAATCACAATTCCACTACTTTAATTAAAATTCCAACAATATTACTAGATTAAAACCCCCTTAAAATCTTTATCAAAATATACTTGTATGCCTAGTTAATCAATAGAAATGCAATAGGAACAAAAGCTCCCATTTAATTAGTCATAAGAACCCTAAAATCCCAATTTAAATAAATTGAAACCCTAGGTTTTAAAATTATAAAATCTGAAAATATTAGTTTAAAACATCAAAAACATAGTTTTGATACTAATTTAATCAATTTCAAACAATAAAAATAACAATTTAACAAGCATTAAGAATGGATAAAATAAAACAAAGGAGAGAGGGTGGGGCAGCCACGGTGGGCCGCAGCTGCTGGTGGGTTGTCGGCTGGTTGGGCGGGGGCGGCTCCGGTGGTGGGTCGTGGGCTCCGGTGGTGGGTCATGGTTTAAACAACAACAAGCAACTCCACATGAACATTGTAGTTCACGTAGGAAGGAGG